ACCCTCGGGTGTCCCCCTCAGGACAGGAGCCCTGGTCACCCTCGGATGTCGCCCTCAGGACAGGAGCCCTGGCCACCCTCGGGTGTCCCCCTCAGTACAGGAGCCCTGGCCACCCTCAGATGACTCCCTCAAGACAGGAGCCCTGGCCACCCTCGGGTGTCGCCCTCAGGGGACAGGAGCCTGACTGGACTCAGGAGCTGAGTCCTAGAGGGTGGCACGTTCTCAGGGGGTGGCCGTGAAGGAGCCTCCTTGAGCTGATGCCAGAGGCCTGTGGCCTGCAGGGTCCCTCACCTGTCCCCAAGAGGAATGAGGGTGTCGGCGGGCCCGAGTAGGACATGTCAGCAGCCACTGAGCGTCAGTTGAGGGGAGCGGGGCTTCGAGCCCTCACTGGGCCTTGGGGGAAGTGCGGTGCCCTGGCACAGAGGTCCAGCCGGGATGGGCAGTGTAGGAGGGGCAGGGAGAACGCTCGGGCCTCCCACAAGCTCCTGGAGGCTCCCGTTCAAGGTGACCGTGGGATGTGCCCTCCATCCACAGCTCTCTGAACCCTGGTGATGTGTGTGGCCCTCTGCTGGCCACCTGTCCACAGGCACTCCGAGCCCCGTCCAGGCTGACTCCCGAGGCTCGGGGGCCCTTGACCCACCCACACCCCGCGCCCTGAGTCAGTCATTGCCCTGGAGGGTCAGCCTTCCTCTGACCCAAGTGCAGCCACAGACTGTGCAGGGGCCACAAGGCGGGTGTGGGTGCCACCTCCCTGGAGGTTTGCAGGCGTGGCATCTCTGTGTATGTGTCTGGGGAGACACTGGGCACAGCCTGGGCGAACTTGGGGCCTCTGACTTCTGACCCTCCCCTTCCCTGCAGACTCCAAGGGGCTCTCAAACCCAGCGGAGGTGGAGGCGCTGAGGGAGAAGGTCTATGCGTCCCTGGAGGCCTACTGCAAACACAAGTATCCTGAACAGCCAGGCAGGTGAGTGCTCAGGGCTGTGCCCAGCAGTGTCCCGGGACAGGTGGGCATGTCCAGGCAGTGTCCTCACATAGATGGACATGTCCACGCAGTGTCCTGGGGCAGGTGGACATGTCATGCAGTGTCCTGGGGCAGGTGGGCACGTGTCCAGGTAAATGATGGGGTGCTCCTCCCACCCCCACCAGCAGCAAGGCCCCTGGGGGCTAGAATAGAGCCGGTGTCTTACTTGTGCCAGGCTAGAGCAGGGCAGTGCTCCCCGCCTCCTCCCACCCCGCCCCAGACCTCAGAGCAGGCATGCTGACGGAGGAGTGGACACTACAGGTCGTGACCTGGGACCATCGAGCGGTTTCCGACTGCTAGCCACTCTGAGCAGAGTCCCGGCAGAGTCAAGGTTGTAAACCTTTCCAAAGGTTTCTTGCCTCACGTGCCTGGTGGATTCGAGCTGCCAGCCGTGTGGATGGCTGTGAATGTCGCTGGTTGTTGTAATTGTGTGTCTCTCAGCTGGAACCGACACACAGCTGACCCTCCAGCGGGTTTTCACGGTGGTTAGTTGGAGACTGCCTGTCCTTCTGTGGAGCTACTGGTGGATTTGAACTGCCTGCCTTGGGGACTGTGGCACAGATTCTTAGCACTAGGCTGCTAGTGCTCCCTGGTGCCACTGGCAGTGGGCACTTTTTAAAACGTGCTGGGCACGTAGTCCCAGCCCCTTGCTGCCTCTCCACCAGCCTGGTTCCTGGAGGGCTGGACTAGGCCTCACTCCTGGTCCTCACACAGTGACCTGCAGGGAAGAGGAGCCCAACTGGCCTCTAGGCTGGGATCTGGGCTCGTGGGGGCTGAACACTGGCGAGTGGGCTCTGCCGAGGTTGGCAGACACATGGTTAACCATGGCCAGCCCCATTTCGCCTCATCTGGTTTGGTTTAAAGTGAAACTTCCCGGACTGAGGGCCAGCGGTGGGAGGGGCGGCGGGCGCTTGTTTATCCTGGCCCCCTGCCCACCCGCCGCCGTGGCCACTGCACCAGCTCAGCAGAAAACAGTGCGTCCCTGGCTAGGCTCCAGCCTCACGCTCTCTGTCCTCACAGCGGGGCTTGTGCGGCATGACCCAGGCTGCCCCACCCCCTAAACCAAGGGCAAACCCCACAACCCCGGGGGATGCCCTGAAAAGGACTGGGCAGTCCTGGGACACGTCTGAGGGATGCCCTGTGAAGGACTGGGCAGTGCTGGGACACGTCTGGCCCGTCCTCTTCCTATGCACCTGCCTGCTGGCCACACAAGCGCCTCACCGTGGCCTCTGAGTGTGGAGCGGCAGGACCCAAGGTTGTCCTCTGAGGCCCCAAGTTCTTCCCTTCCCCCTGACTCCACGCCCAGGACATGCACGAGAAGGGGGGGTGCCTCAGGAGAGATACCACCTCCCCAGCCTCCTCTGGGCATCAGTTGACCCCCTGGTCCAGTCTCGGCACTTGTTCTGTGGAAGGGCACTTGGCAGGTCTCCTGACCACCCTCAGTCTGCAGCAGTGCTGAACCCCACCTTGCCTCTGAGACCCCGGTGCCCCACCATTTCTCAGCCAGGCACCCACCACACTCCGTCATGCCTCTTAGGGTGCTCAGTGGGCCCATCCCTCCATTACTCAGAGGACCCACCCCATCCACCGACGGCCACAGCCAGTGTCCTCCACTGTAACCAGAGGGCTGCACTATTGCTGCTCTCCCCCCTGGTGTTGGTGTTGCTGTGGCTCCCCATTGCCCTTGGAGAAAACCCTGTATTTCCTCATCTTTGCACAAAGCACTCCTCATTTTCTGCCCCCACTTCTGGCTTTTTTCACACTCCTTGAGCTCCCATCTCTGGGTCCTTGTCTGCTCTGATCCTCTGCCCAGGTGCCCCGTCTCCGCCTGGAGGTTCGTGGAGCCGACCTCGCGCTGCACGCCTGAGTCAGAGTTAGACAGACCCCCTCTGCCTGGTGTAAGGGAGGGCTGGGGGAGGGGATCCTCTTGCCCACACCTCACCTGTGCCCACTCCCCAGGTTCGCCAAGCTCCTGCTCCGTCTGCCCGCCCTGCGCTCCATTGGCCTCAAGTGCCTGGAGCACCTCTTCTTCTTCAAGCTCATCGGGGACACGCCCATCGACACCTTCCTCATGGAGATGCTGGAGGCCCCCCACCAGATCACTTAGCGCCTCACCTGCCCCCACTGGCCCTGGCCACCCACTGCCCTTCTTCGCCTGAGCCTGCCCTCCCCTGCCCGGCCTGAGTGGACCGTGGGCCTCTGCCCTGCACCGCCCGAGATGTCATCCTTGTTCTTCCGCTCCGCTTGTCCGTCTACACTGAGGCGGCGGCTTCTTGGGGCAGCAGCCGGACTTGGGGTGAAGTGCTGCTCCCCGTCGGGTCTGTGGGTGCTCAGACAGCGTGAGGTGCTGCAGGCTGCTGGGACCCGAGGTCCTGGGAGGGCAGCTGCTCAGTTCTGCTCGGAGTGGCCCCTCTCACTGGCGCCTGGCACCCAGGGACAGGAGGAGACGAGACAGGCTAGCGTTCTGTCGTCCTAGGAAGTGAGAGGGGGCCCTCTGGGGGCCGCATGCCCCTCACCGAGCGGCCCTCTTTCCAAAGAAAACTTGCAAGTTAACTGAGTCAACTTTGGGATGTGGAGATTGGGGGGCCACTCGCCTGTCCTCAGCGTGGCCTTGCCTTGTCGTGGGCGCCCCACGCGTGAACGTGAAGCCCGTGGTAACCACGTCCTGGCCGTGCCTTCCCCCGCCCCGTCTTCACCTTCAAGGTGGGCCCCTGGCTCCCTGTGGGCAACCCCCCTCCTTAGTGGCTTCCTGGAAGGACCTGGGCCCTTCAGAGGGGGGCTCTGCTAGCCTGTCAGGACTCCAGCAGCACAGGTCAGTCATCTAGAAGGTTCTCGTGAGCAGGGGCGCCTCGTCAGCTCTCCCTGGAAAGTCTTTCCTTGGTGGTGGACTCCAGAGGCTATGACGGGCAGGGATGGTGGCTGCCAGAATGGCCTGGACCGGCCTCTCAGTCCATTGATTTGTGGGACCCTGGGGCCACTGAGCCCAACCTCCTGGGGCCTTCTTGTGGGTGCCATGTGCAGGGCCCCTGCGCCCTGCTCCAGCCCCCCCAATCTAGGCCCCTCTGCCCCCTGGGTGGGTGGCTCTGACGGTGTAGGATGATTTCTCAGGTGCACTGGCCCCTTTGCACTGTAAACCCTGGTACCCACATATTCACATATCAGACCCTGTGACTCCAGCCTGTCTGGGGGACAGTTGGGGACAAACTTGGTCTCCTGTAACAGCTGGTTTCACCTGGGAGGCCCTCGCTAGCCGCCTCTGCCGGGGTCCCTGGAATGGGGTGTCTCTGTGGCAGATTGTTCAGAGGGGAGGAGCCAGCCAGAGAGGCTCCTTCCTTGACCTCGGCGAGGAGGAAGTGACTCTCCCGGAGGGGTGGGGGCGCCGGTAGAGACTGGACAGATCGCTGTCCCTTCCTGGGAAAGGCCTTCAGCCGTGCCCCCTTGCCTCGACCTTTTCCCGTTGCCCTTCCGAGACACCACCAGGAAGCTTCAGACCATTTGGGGCTCATTAAACTAGGAAGGTCGGGTGGGCGCTCTGGGGAGCTCCCTTTAAGGGTGCTCCTCTGTTGGAGAGCTAGCTTACACACAGGCCCCGGTACCTTCTGTTGCCATGCACACCACCACCCACCGGTCCCCACTGTCCCCTGCTGGTCATCTGGGCTTCAGAGGGACAGTGGCTGCCTGAGCCAAGAAAGCACAAGGATGGGGTGGCAGCTTCTTGGGAACCTGGTTGCTGGCCCTGGGCCCCTCCTGTTACCGGACATCCCTCCCTGGCCCCTAGGACACTCGCCCCCAGGTCACCTGACTCAGCTTCTCCTGCCCTGCCTGCCTGTGCTGTTGTCTGGAACGGTGGCCTGTGGGAGAGGTGGCTTCTCGGGAGAAAGGCAGGGTTTTTATTTAACCAGAATCTCATATCCTTCAAATCTGGTTCAATTACGGTGATTTTTTTTGTAATTATTGTAGTAGTATTATTATTATTTGGTGGGACAATCTTTAATTTTCTAAAGATGGCACTGACTTCAGCCACGAACCACCCATGCCTGTCCCATTTGGCCTGGCTGGACAGCTCAGGACACAGCCACCGTTTTCTGTCCCCAACTAATGGGTCCCTCAGCTGTCCCCGTGCTGTGACAATAATAGGGAGGCTGTGGGGCCCAAGAGCGGAGACAACCAAACCAGGGGACTTCGACCACGCCCCGTCAGGAAGCTGGTCTGCTGGTGACCACGTGTCATTGGAGGGTTCTTGTCACTGAGCATGGCCGGAGAGGCCCACGTCCTGCTGTGTGAGACACCCACACCTCCTCTTCCCGGAGGAGACCCCTGAACTTGTCCTGCGGCTCCAGGAGGAGCTGGCAGGGGACAACCCCAGCACAGACGGGGCGCACAGCCCGGTTCCACGCGGGGGGCTGTGAGGCAGATGTGTGGCACCAGCAGAGTGAGGGCTCCTTTGCCACCAAGACTGTTTCCTGACCTGTGCATTTGTCTCGTGTGGGCGAGAACCTGAGACCCTCCGCTGGAAACGGGCTGCTGTGACTCTGCGGGGAGGTGCGTGTGTTTTGAGATGCCCTGTCCGGTGTGGACAGTTCTCGAGTCCCCGCCGCTCGCCATGCCTTAGCTGGGGTGTGGGGCTGCCCTGTAGAGAGGACCCCGGGCGCTTGACCCCAGGCACTTAACGAGAGTAAAGAAGAGATGTCTCAAGCATCGAGAAAGGTTTAAAAAAAAAATCTATTTTTGTACAAATGTAATTTTATCCCTCATGTATCCAAGGATGAGTTGACAGGAGGGTGGGGACTGGTTCAGTTTCTGCTTCCAGGGTTCGAGGTTCCGAAGGCACGTGGACTAAGACAGCAAAGGCTTTGGACAAAACTGCTTCGGAGATTATATATATATATATATTATTTTTTTTCCTTTGGGTAGGGGGTGGGCCTGACACTTTGAAGGGTTTTCTTCTCCCTTTGAGTCATTTCTCAAACCTCGCTGCGCTGTCCCCGTGGCCAGCGGCCTTCCTGCGGCCCTGCCCGACTGTGAAATTACTTCCGGATGCCATTGTTCTCCAAGCAGTTGCGGCTGCAGATGGCGGGCCCGGCGAACGATGGTGTTAGGACCGGGGAGAGGAGTCACGTGAGAGGAGAAAGAAAATAAGAGCGTTGAAAATACCTTGCCATCTTGTGCTTGCCTGTTCTGTGTCGTGCACCTGTGTGGATTTGAGAGGCGTCTGGGGCTGGGGGTCCTGCTGACCACCTCCGCTGTCCCAACCCTACTGCCCTGTCTAGTGAGGCCTCAGGTGGGCTGGTGGGAGCCGCGCGCTATGTGGTGAGACCTCCGACGGCTGACTCCAGGCCGCCCTTGTTTATGCCCTGTCAGTTCTGTCCCCTGGCTCTTGGGGTCGCTCGGGGTTTGGGGCCAAGTTGGAGGTAATTGAGGGCACATCCCAGTGTAACATTTGCAGAGCCCCAGCCCTGCCCTGGTGGCTCAGGCCAGTCCCTGTACATACCCTGGAGGAGAGGGGTGGGGGCCCCTCAAATGGCCATGTGACCAGAAAGGCGAGAATGCGGTCACTGACCTCCCTCCTTCATTGCAGGTGTCCTGAGGACGCCCCCGTTCAGGTCTCCATGCTCTCCCATCCACCAGCATCCTCACAGCTTCCTGGGGCCTGGGTGATGTGACCCCACCCCATAATGAGGTCTGAGGGTCCCTGAGGTGAGACTAAGCCGAGGTTCTGGCTAGAGAAAAGGGCTCTCTCTGTGGAGGTCCCCCCAGGCCTGCTTCCTTTCCCCCCTGCACACCCACACTCAGCCAGGGCATGTCCCAGAGGGATGAACTCTGGGGAAGGGAGCACGGGATGGGACTGGACGTGACATTGCTATCCTTGGCCGTGTGGCAGGTGCTGCTGGGCTCCACTGTGACTGTCTAGGGGCCCACTTTGTGGTTCCAAGGTCTCCGTGGCTTCCAGTGGAGTCATGCTGGCCCCAGCCTCTGTCCTCCTTTGGAGCACTGGTCCTAGCCCCTCTTTATCAGGGGTCCCTTCTAACACTGGCCTCCATCCTTGGATCCTGGGGGCCCCTCCTTTTGGCATCTCCAGCTCCCTCAGTGCCAGAGATGCCTCTTTGCTTCACTGACCCCTCCCACAACCATTGTAGAGATCTCTTGCAACACTGACTCCTGTCCTGTATATATCAGAGCCCACCGAACACTGTCCTCTGTAGCCTTGGATCCTGGAGACCCTTCTTGTGGCACCCCTACCCTCTGTCAGGACCCCTCACAGCACTGTTCCCCACCCCTGGACCCTGAGGACCTTCCTCTTACCTCCACCCCCTCTGTCAGGACCCCTCACAGCACTGTTCCCCACCCCTGGACCCTGAGGACCTTCCTCTTACCTCCACCCCCTCTGTCAGGACCCCTCACAGCACTGTTCCCCACCCCTGGGCCCTGGAGGCCTTTGTGGCACCTCCACCTCATCTGTGTCAGTCCCCTCAGTTCCACAAAGCTTCATGGGTGGGAGAGACCAGGTCCAGTGGTGAGTCTTTGTTTGAGGTGATAGCCAGGCCCAAGTGAAGGGGTGACAGAATGACCTCCACGTGGACCTTTGCTCTAAACCAGAGGGTCCTCCGGCCGTTCTCAGGGTTGTCTGTTCGTGGACTGAGCCCACCTGGGATGGGGAGGGTCCGATGCTGGTGTCTTCATCGGCCCTCGGGTCGTGGAGAGGCGTGAACAGCGCTTAGAGGACAGTTTCTTAATACCCCTCTGAGCAGAGCAGGGTCCCCAGGGAGCCTCCAGGGGCCTGAGCCATCCGGAGCAGGAAGCTCAGGCAGCCTCCCAGGAACCCCTGGTGGCCCAGGGCCATTACATGGCAACCACGCTGCTGCCTCTGGTTGCTATGGTGACACCTGCCCAGGGCAGTCCCTCCAGACCAGGGATGCTGGGCTTGATGGGTTTATCATCACCAAGGAATCTGGCTTGTGAGCTGGGTGGAGGGCAGGTGCAGGGCCAGAATTTTGGAGGACCTTACCTGGCCTGTGTACTAGGCTTTGTGCTGGGCATTGGACCCGCCCCCCTCCAGGAGCAGAACGGATGGGAGGAGGAGGGTGTCTGGGGAGGGGGGATCAATTC